ATGATTACCTGTTTTATGGACCATTTGTAGAGGCATTAATCAATGAAGATTGTCATGCTGTATGAATCTATGAACAGGTCACGTGTCATATTGTTTACTGAACTTTTAACCATTTTAATTTGTTTATCTGGAGGTTGTATGGCCATGTTTATTTACATTGCCTATTCCTAGTCTTGCAAAGTTCTGTAGTTTGTGCTTTTTGTATTTGTTTTTTTGTTGGTTGAAAAACCAATGTTGGAAGAAAGTCTTATAATGCCGAGTGCAAGAGTTTGTACAACAGTAATTCTTGTACCAGTGGGTATTTTGTTTTGTATGCGACTTGGAGATATTACTGTGCCCATTACTATTTTGTAAATGTCCATGTGTCCAAAAAGTCATGGATCTGTATATGCTCAAAGATTAAAAAATAAATAAATACTTGGTGCAATATATATCAAATTCTTTTGATTATGTATGTGGGTATTTTGGCTGTTGTTGGGATTTTATTTTGCGACCACTGTCATCAAAATACAGTTTTCCTTCTGTGAGAGTGAGTATTCTTATCAATTCATCTAAATTGCTTACCGGGGCCACATGAAGAAACAGTCATTGTTATATTAAACAAGAAGACTTGTTGCAATGCTTGGTAAGTCGTTAATAAATATAGTGATTAACAGAGAACCTTGTGGAACACCAAAAGAGACTGGTTTCTTTGATTTTGACAGTTGTTTTTAGACAATTTCTGAACCAATAATTGTCAATTCCATGGTTTTTCATTTTGTTATGCAGGATTTCATGGCCGACACTGTTAAATGCTTTTGTTATATCAGACAATGCAAGTAGATTTCCATTTTTGTCTGAAATTTTGTTTATGAGGAAGGAGAGCAGAGGAAGGAAAAGAGAATAAGAGAAAAGGAGAAAAGGAAAGTGAATAAGAGAAAAGGAGAAAAGGAAAAAGAAATGGAGAATAGGAGAAAGAGAAAGAAACAGAAAAGGAGGAAAAGAAACGGAGAACAGGAGAATGAGAGAAAAACAGAAAAGGAGAAAAAGAAAAAAGGAGAAAGGAAAGGAAAAGAGATGAAGAAAGAAGGAGAGAAAAAGAAAGGGAGAAAAAGGAACACACACACAACACACACAACACACACACACACACCACACACACACACACACACAACACACACACACACACACACACACACAAAAAAAAAAAAAAAAAAAAAAAAAAAAAAAAAAAAAAAAAAAAATATATATATATATATATATATATATATATATATATATATATATATATATATATATATATATATATATATATATATATATATATATATATATATATATATTCTGGTACTTATTTGTCACACTAAATTATATTGGTTTGATAAGGATAATGAAGAGGAGAGCATTACTGAATTTTGCATCTATAGCATGCAACATAAGTTTCTTAATGAACAGTTATACATCAAATTTTGCAATACAAACTTGCTTGTAGGAAGAGAAATTATCCTGACCAGCTGATTTTCCCTTAATCAAATAGCTTTCTAAGGCCAGAATTTTACATTTCAAAAGAAGTTTTGGCAGGCCACATTCCTGGCTTAAGATGAAATACCGAAATTCAAACTTTCCAACACCATTTTTTTCTTATGACTTAATTATACTATTAATAAGTTTGATAATATTAGTTTAAACATTTGATTTTCTTCAAAATTCCTATAACCATATTATAAGTGGGCCTGTCATCCACAGACCACAGGACATGCAAATACATTATATGCAATAGAACTCTGAAGGAACCATGCCAAAACTTCATTCAAGCATTTCATTATTTTCAAGAGCATTTTGATGGAAGCAATTACAATTGTAAGAAGTGATACAAAAGGCAATTATATATTCATTATCTGTACTTAAGTACACTCAAAGTCCTAGTATTTACAAGTCTAAATGTTCATATCTTGAGAACTGTATTGATAATGTATTTTAATTTCTTTCATATTTCACATTAACACTGTTCATCTCACTATAATGTCGTAACAATGAGAGAATGCTGCTGCTTGGAGCTTCAAAGACACAAAACTGTGCATCAAACTGCTATTAACCCTCGTACAGATCAAGGACAACAGTGATAGGAAATACCCTCCCGCGGTAGGTTCAGGGTTTCTATACTGCACAAACAAAATAAAAGTTATCTAATTCAATGGGATGTATGGAATTATTTACTTTATGGTTTTTCATATAATTTTCTTACTGGTGTGTTATGTTCAACCTAACATGATTATTTTGAATTGTGCATATAACAATTTCCTCTTTAAATTCCTGAATAATTGAGTATTTTTTCAGCTGCCAACTTTAACAATTTAATCAGAATCAAAAGTAATTTCATATATAAAATTTATAGCTATAAAGCTACTACAAAAATAAAGAGCTGCACTGCTGCTTGAGATAATTAAATGAATATTCATTTATAAATAAACACACATATAATCATACAAGTCAACTTTTTAAGGCTTTTTTTTTTTTTTTTTTTTTATCAAACTCTGGAACCAACTAATTCAACATTTTTTCTTTTTCTATCTTAAAGTACTTCAGTTGTAGCCTTATACTATCTAAGATGATAATGAAAACCCATAGATAATTATTATTTAATGAAAATATTTACAAAATAAAATGTAGCATTTTTACAATGTTCAACAAAGTTTTAAAAAATAACTGAAATTTTATTACTAGTTATTGTAGAAAACCATTCAAGCTCTCGCAAATTAAGAAAGAAAATAGAAATCTAAGAGTACGAGTGCAGTGAACATTAGTAATAATTAATGGACGCTACACTCAATCCAGACTACAGAGAAAAGCCCAGAATTCTAAATGACATGAACTACAACTCCAAGTCAAACTGAAGTCCAAGAGAAAAATGTGATAGCGAAGAAGACCCAAATCCCAAAATTTCTCGGAAAAACGAAAACCGCAGGAACCATCCAGAAACAACCCTGATAACTGAAGGCACAAAAATAAACAGAAAAGCTAATATACTCTCAGTTAACTCTGCTGCAGATTCTAAAATATAAAATTTCAACCACTTTAGATTAACCTATTCACTAATCAAACCAGATCTTCAAATTTATACAATTGAGGAGTCATATTAACTAAGTTACATCACATAAATCAAAAGGAAAAAAAAAACTAGAAAGTTCAAACATCCAGCCTCAATAAAGAACAAAAGCTGTTAAAATTGCTCAATATTCCTTGTTGAAAGAGATCTAAACCTTGAAGAAGAAAGAAGAAACAGGAACACGTGTTCACTGAAGCAGTTTTGTGAAATGTCTTTGCACAGATGGTTCTGCAAGTGTTTTGCCCCAATGGAGTCATTTACTAGACTGAAGTGACCTTATCTACCTTCCTCTTTCCTTGATTTTGGGAGACTTTTTAATTTTACTAATACCAACTGTTATACTTATTAGACATCTAATATGGTCATTATAATGTTTTAGCAAAAATAATAGAAATATAAAATAAAGTACATTTCAAGGAATAGGGCAAATAAGTGAGATACGTAGAACTAGTAACCAACTCAGTGGTGACTAAACATTTGTGGAGTCATCCGTGCATAAACAAAATCGATAAACTAAATTCGTAATGGTTAGGGCATGTGCATACATGCCATCCCCTCAGGTACACGGTTGCCCACCCTCCTGCTACCTTGTCACCACAAATGAGGTGGACTCCAATGGCCAAGCAGGAGGTCAAGGTGTACCTTGGGATCCTTCTGATAATGGGATTTGTTGAGCTTCCCAGTTACGGCGATTACTGGTTGACCAATCTCATTCTTCGTCACCACATCATTCCTGAGGTAATGACGAGAGATCGGTTTGACCAGTTGACGACACATCCATTTCACGCATTTGGAGGAAGGAGCTCCACTCCCAGAGGACAGGTTGTGGAAGCTCCGACCAGTCGTGGACGCCCTCAACGACTCGTTCCAGACGACTTTCATCCCAGGGAAGGAGATCGCCACTGACGAGTCATTGTGGAAGTTCCGTGGGTGGTTAGTTTTTAAGAGCTACAACCCATTCAAGAGGGCGAGGTTCAAGTTGAAAGTCTATAAGCTCTGTCCCAGTACCAGCCCAGCTGCAGGGTACACCGTGGCGACATGCCTTCTTCCACAAAAGTGGTGCTTCATCTGATGGAGTATGGCAGCTGTCTTGACAAAGGGTACCAGTTGTTTGTTGACAACTGGTATATGTCACCTACGCTCTTTCATTTGTTGCAGTCACAAAGGACGAATGCAGTAGGCACAGCCCGGCTGAACAGGAAGTTCATGCCATAGGACCTCAATGTGAGGAGGAGGGGTGGTGTCGATTACCGCAGCAGCACAACAGGGTTGCTGGCCTTGTTGTGGAAGGGAAGCAACGTTATCACCATGCTGTCTCCCATCCATACCACCGCAATGGAAGGGAGAAGCCGTTGGTAGTAAAGGATTACAACGTCAGCATGAAGGAAGACGTTGATGATCAGATGGGGAGCTACTACCCAACACCTCGCTGGTCCAGAGTTTGGTACAGGAAGGTCTTCTTTCTCTGACATGGCTATCATCAACGCCTGGGACGTCCATCGTGCCATCATAGAAGGCCTTCAGACTGGAGCTCATCCCTGAACTCTTGGGGCAGTTCAGGGAGGGGGCAAACCCCATCAGGGCCCACACTGCAACACATCCACCCATTGCAGCCAGGCGGGCTCTGCATCAGCATCAGCATGCGGTATCAGAAATACCCGACGGCAAGCAAAGGAGGTGCCTATGCTAGTCTGAATGCTTTCAAACATACTGTTAAAAAATACAGTAGCATACAAAAACAAATATGTACAAAAAAAAAAAAAAAATTCACCTTCATTTGTATGATGCTTCTTTATTGTACAGACTGTAAGCTACTTTGAATTATCATATGTAATGCAATCAACAACAGCAGTCACTTACTGTTTTGCTATAGCATGAGTAAGTTTATTCAAGAAAATAGAATACAAAAAATGCA